ACTATTATTATTAATCCTCCCATCCTTTCACCCATCTCCTCCCACTTATGACTGTAACTTTGTTGCTTGTATCCTTACGATTTATATTGGTTGTTTCCTAGTATGATTCAATTGCTTATTGTACCCTTTGACTATCATTAAGTGTTGTACCTGATGATTCTTGACAAATGTGTCTTTTCTTTTATGTGCACTGAGAGCATTTGCACCAGAGACAAATTCCTTGTGTGTCCAATCACACTTGGCCAATAAAGAATTCTATCATCTCTCTCTCTCTCTCTCTCTCTCATTCTATCTATCTATCTATCATCTATCTATCTATCTATCTATCTATCTATCTATCTATCTATCTATCTATCTATCTATCTATCTATCATCTATCTATCTATCTATCTATCTATCTATCTATCTATCTATCTATCTATCTATCTATCTATCTATCTTACTCTTTGCAGGCTAAAAATGCTCAAGACGGGCGTCTCTTGAACCGCAAGATGCAATTAACCTCCTTTTTTTTTATTTCCCCAAATAGCAAAGTCTAGATTAAGCTCTTTTTACAAAAAAAACATAACCAGTCTGACCAGTTTCAGATCTTAACTTTCACTTCTCCCGACCATTTCCTGAGGGCTGCAAGAATCAAGGGCTCTTTTGTGCAATTCAGCGCAAACACACACACACACACACACACACACACACACAAACACACCCCTGCTAATTTTCCGCCTTCCCTCCACAACTGCAGTGATTTGCTTAACAGCAAAAAAATTAAAAATTAAAAATAAGCTCACAAAATCAGCACCACTCACTGAACAACTTGCTTAGCGACGGAAATCTTGGTCCTGATGGAGGTCGTATGTTGAGGGCTTGTCTGGGCCACTCCTCACTGAAGGACCGGTGCAAAAATTGTCTCTACGGTTACGCAAAGCCCAAAGCAGACGCTGTTTTGCAGCCCTGCGTGAAATGAAAAGCAGGAACGGTGAAGGAGTATTTTATCTTCCAGACAAACCGAGATCCGCCCTCCAAACAATCTTCTTTTGGTTGAATGCCCTGGAAGACCGGATCATGGGATCACCTCCTCCTGGGATCACCTCCTCCTGGCAAGCATCTGACTCTCCCTAAAAGGGTTAGTCGGTTCCGTCAAACTCCGCCTGGTTTCTGGCTAACACAGCTCTCCTTCTACAACGGCTGCAATTCTTGAGCCTCTCAGAACTGCAGAGTTGGAAGGGACCTTGGAGGTCTTCTAGTCCAACCCCTTGCTCAAGCAACAGACCCTAGACCGGGGGGTCACCAACCTTTTGGAGCTCAGGGACCACTCAATGCGTCATTTTAAATCCCGTGGACCACGAATGTGAATTTTTCTAAAGAAAGACATAGTATTTAGTGCAATATAGAAAATGCAAATAATTTTCCTGCAGGTCTCCAGTGATCCATGGGCCACCAGTTGGTGACTGTTGCCCTAGACCATTTCAGACAAATGGCTGTCCAATCTCCAGTGATGGAACACCCACAGCTTCTGGAGTTAAGCCATTCCACTTATTTAACAGATTAACAGAGTTGGAAGGGACCTTGTAGATCACCTAGTCCAACCCCCCCCCCCCCCGCCGCCCAAGCAGGAGACCCTGCACCATTTCTGATAGAGGGCAGTCCAATCTCTTCTTGAAAACCTCCAGGGATGGAGCTCCCACAACTTCTGGTGGCAAGTTGTTCCACTGGTTAATTGTTCTCATTGTCAGAAAGTTCCTCCTTATTTCCAGGTTGAATCTCTCCTTGATCAGTTTCCATCCATTTTTCCTTGTCTGGCCTTCAGGTACTTTAGAAAACAGCTTGACCCCTTCCTCCTCTCTGTGTCAGCCCCTTAAATATTGGAAGATGCTCTCCTGTCTCCCCTGGTCCTTCTCTTCCCTAGACCAGCCAGGCCCAGTTCCTGCAACCGTTCATCTGATGTTTTAGTCTCCAATCCCCTCATCATCCTGGTTGCTCTTCTCTGCACTCTTTCTAGAGTCTCAACGTCTTTTTTTTTATAATGTGGTGACCAAAACTGGATGCAGTATTTCAGGTGTGGTCTTACTAAGGCGTTCCAAAGCGGTATTAGAACTTCACTTGATCTTGGTTCAACATCTTTTTGATATCATGGCCATCAAAACTGGATGCCACATTCTAATAATCTCCTTCACTCAGACATTCAACCAAGCGGTAAACAATGTCACTTGATCTTGCAGAGATCCAATTCTGGGAAATTTGTCTGCCTGGAAAGACCATTCCCCATCCCTGCTGTAGGGGGGAAAAGTTTACAGCGCAGTCATGGGGTTATGATGTTTTTTTCAGTGCCGTCGTAACTTCGGTCACTAAAAGAATTCTTGTAAGTTGAGGATCACCTGTAGAAATTAGCTTTCTTCTTTTTTGCTTCAAACTCTCCAATTCAACTTGTATCCAGTAAATAATTCCAACCGACTACCAACTCGTAAGTATGGCCAGGTATTTGATGGCTTTGAGGGTGTTTCCACCATCCAATGTTGTCCTTGCCACTTTTCTCATTCTTTACTAATCACATTTTAAACTTGTCCGTCCATGAGATTATCTAACTCTTTAAAAAAAGTCCAGATATTTATAAATGTCATCCCGATGGTTCCTGATGAATTGTCCATTCGGCATTGTAATGTCATTACTCTTTGCTGTTTTACCTTGATTTATTTCCACCCTAAGCACATTTCCTTGACCAATTTCCATTGCTATACAACTGTGCTACAAATTCTCCCAGTGCTGGTGAGCGATTCCAATTTCTGGTTTTCCGTAAATCTTCAGATCATCCGTATAAAGCAAATGGGAGGTTTTATTAACATTTATTAAAAAATCTCTGGTACCAAATCCCAAATGTACTTTTTTTTAGGAGGAAACTGGACTTTCTTGGTTTTTCTTTGAAGATGTTTTGCTTCTCATCCAAGAAGCTTCTTCAGCTCTGACTGGATGGTGGGGAAGGGAAGGATTTCTCTTCCTTGCAGACAGCTGGTCGTTTGCATCCTTTTTAGAGGGTCCTTGAGGCCACTTGGAGGTTTGTCTGTGTCCTCTCAGGGTCACCTGAGTGGTGTAAACGGTTCCTGTAGTCTGCATTTTTTTCTCTCTCTCTGGAAATCCATTCCTTCTCCTTCAAAAGGAAAAAAACCAGAAAGTCCAGTTGCCTCCTGAAACAGCATCTTTGGGACAACTGTGACCTGAAGGACGGAGAATCTCTACAGACTTTGGTACCAAGATTTGTTTTCTGCAAAAATCACTGAAGTTGGGAGCAAGGCAAGGACAAACAGTAAGGGTGATGACTCTTCTCATCTTGACAAGCCCATATTTTTCACTTCCAATCACCTGATTTCCACTGCTTTGTTATTTTTCCTACAAACAGACTAATGTTTTTACTGACATCGGTTGTTTCCAAACATCTGATGGTCCATCTATGGGGCAATGAATCAACTGTCTTGATTTCTATTGTTTTAGCTCACATGCTGTTCCATTTGGGAGGACTCAAAGCAGATCACCTCGAGACAAAATGTTCTTGACGACATTAGTAACACAATACACACGCATGCACACATACACAATGCACGGTCACTTGGGAGCAACCCCATGTCCATGGGTGGGTGGGGCGCAGGGCCAGAAGGACCAATGAAATCATAAGCATGACACAAATTGAGATGAAGTTCGTAGAACGTAGAAGAACAGAGTCAGAAGGGACCTTGGAGGTCATCTGGTCCAACCCCCTGCTCAGGCTTTCACACAAATGGCTGTCCAATCTCTTCTTCAAATCCTCCAGTGATGGAGCACCCACCAGCTCTGAAAGTAAGCTGTTTCACTGGCTAATTGTCCTAATTGTTAATTAAACAGTGGAAGTATTATAATACTTATGGTTATTAAAGTTGGACCTTAAAAAAGCAGGACAGGAAGAAAAATTCAATGGTGAAAAAAGTAAGGTTGTACATTTAGGCAAGAAAAACAAAATGCCCAGGTACAGTATATGTGGTACCTTACTCAGTAGTAGTAGCTGTGAGAGGGATCTTGGAGTCTTAGTGGAGGAGGACCACTTAAATAGGAGCCAGCCGTGTGCAGCCGCCGCCAAAAAAGCCAACGCAATCCTAGGCTGCATCAACAGAGGGATAGAATCAAGATCACATGAAGTGTTGATACCACTTTATTACCACACTTGGAATCTTGCATCCAGTTTTGGTCGCCATGATGTAAAAAAGACGTTGAGACTCTAGAAAGAGTGCAGAGAAGAGCAACCAAGAGGATTAGGGGACTGGAGGCTGAAACATATAAAGGACAGTTGGTGGAATTGGGGATGTCTAGTTTAATTAAAAGAAGGATCAGGGGGGACATGATAGCAGGGTTCCAATATCTCAGGGGTTGCCCCAAAGAAGAGGGAGTCAAGCTATTCTCCAAAGTTCCTTGTCGTAAAAAAAAAATTCAATAAAAGAGGAACACAGACAAACCACAGGCAATAAATCCTACTTTGAGATCAAAGGTTTATTTCATGAGCAATTTGGAATATGAACAGCCATGGTAACACAACTTAAATCAAATAACTCATTGCAATGAGGTCCACTGGACATGGCCGAGTCTGGCAAGGAGTAGCCTTGGCCAATGGCCCTGAACACATCCCAAAACATTCTTTATATACTTTTCTGCACGCATTTGACAACTTACTTCTGTGTTCTTTCATGCTGACAGACAGTCTCCACATATACCCGTGTACATCTCAAACCTCTATCTATCGGCTACTTTCTGTCCCTTATTTCTCACGGTTTTCAAAACTACGTTCTTTGCAAAAATCACACTCCACAGCAACAGCTCAGCAGGATTACAAATAGTTCTGGTACATTTTGAAATCATCCTCTCTAAAACTTTGGTTCGTGTCTCTTTTCTTCTGGGGTCTGCTATCGTCCATGGGCCTTGTGGAATCTGATAGATCAATAGCCTTTTTTTTTTCTTCCCACACCCTAAAGAGGCAGGACAATCAGCAAAGGGTGGAAACTAATCAAGGAGAGAAGCAACCTAGAACTAAGGAGGAATTTCCTCACAGTGAGGACAATAAACCAGTGGAACAACTTTCCACAAGAAGTTGTGGATGCTCCAACACTGGGAGTTTTCAAGAAGAGATTGGACAGCCATTTGTCTGAAGTGGGTGTGTTAGAAATGAGAAAATTCAAAAATAAAATGTAGGTGAAGAGAATAGTATATCGTTGCTCTATAGACATTTACTATCTTGAAAATATATTTTCGAATGCATTTACTCATTGTTAAACATGTACCTGCAATCAATTATATCCTCCTGTATCAAGTAATGCCAACCCTATTTCCTCCAGGAATTGGTACATATCTCACAATACACGCACACATTTGACATAACAAAAACCAAAGTGATCAATTAGGAGGACAATAGGAGAAGAGAAAATAAAAGATAAACATGACCCTAGCTTCCTTGAACAATTGAAGTTAGATTTTGTTTTTCAAAGCATCTGCTTAAGTTTAATCTTGGCACATTGGGATTTTAAGTTATAACCAGACTTTTCCTTTGCATAGGTGAATATGTTAGAGATGCATATAATCATTATGCTGTTCTAAGATGGCTGGAGAGAAGATGCGCTGAAGGTGTGGTGTTAGAAAATAGATATTTCTTTGTTCTCAGACCGTTAGAAAGTTTTAGGGAGTTTTTTTACAACTTGCAATATCTGGTACAAATGGTTGTATAAAAAGGAAATAAAGATGTCTAGTGAAACCGATTAAACAAACAACCAGGGAAAATGGAAATAAGGATAAATGTATATATAGCTACGTATATATGTAAAGCGATATAATTAAATAAATATTGTATTATAATTGTAATAATAACAAAAAAAGTAAGGATCTAGGAAACAAGTTATAGATTTACTTATAACAAATGACTTTAATGGACACTTAGAAATGTACACTGCTATGAAAACATTGCAAAAAAAGAAAAGAAAGAGGCGCTGCTGAAGGGAAATTCCTTAATGCCAAGTAAGATAAGGAAAAGCCATGTTGGCAAAATATGTGAAGGGTGGTCATTGGGAGGTATTGAAGGACATGATGTTGTCTGCATAAGGCATCTCGGATTAGCTGTGTTCGGTCACTGGGTTGATGTAGGAGGGGCATGGCAGGGTGGGTGGGGGCTAGAAAAACTATAAAATGTAATGTTTTGACATCTTGAGGTGTGGTTCTTAGCTCAAACCTCATGTTGCGATAAGCTAAGATCCTACCGCTCTTTGCAAACAGCTTTTTTTCCCCTTTTGTATGCTTTGATTTAAGCTTACAAATAAAATCTTATGTGTTTTCACCGATCCAAGTTTTTGTTATTTGGAATCATTTCCAACAGGTGTAGGGTTTCCTGCCTAAGCAGGGGGTTGGACTAGAACAGCGGTCGCCAACTGGGGGGCCAGGAGAAAATTTTGGTGGGCCGCAGAGAAATCTCACCCCCAGAACACCCCCCAAAAGCAATTAATCCAGGCTGCGCAGAAACACAAGGCTGCCCAGCCCACATGGCCCGCGGGAACCCTCCCCGCCCACTCACTCCTTACCCGGCAAACTTTCCTGCTAAATTGCTATTTTTCCTTTCTCCGACCATCATCTGTTCTGCTGTGCCGGGAGATTTAGATTAGCTAGGAAGCAGGAAATGGTTGGATTTCTTGCTTTCTAGCTAGTCTTTAGATCTTCGGCTCTGCTTTTAAGCACAGCCGAACCTCCCTTAGGACTGAAGTTTCTGTTATTCAGTGCAGACTCACGGCAAGCAAATTTTATGTGACAGACTGAGCTAGCCGATGGCAGATAGATAGATCACTGAATGATTCTGTGAGCAACTCAATCTGCCTGCCTGCTTTGCCTGATTTTGGGTAAAAGTTGCTCTTTTTTTTAAATAAAAAATTCAATATTTATATAAATATTTATAATATTTACATACAAGCCAAGCCCAGCCAGTCACATGACCACCAAGCCACACCCACAAATTAGGCCACGCCCACAGAACCAGTTAGTGGTCCCTGGGATTTAAAATGATGAGTTTGGTGGTCCCCGAGGTCCAAAAGGTTGGCGACCCCTGGACTAGATGACCTCCGAGGTCCCTTCCCACTCTGTGATTCTAAAATTGACTCACTTGAGCTGTGGCGCTGGAGGAGGCACCTGCGTATCCCTTGGAGTCAGCAAAAGTGACTAATAAGCAAGTACAGAGCACATAACAGCAGACATGTTCCTGGAAGCCAGAATCATAAAACTGTGTGTCCCGCTTATTCCGGTCATGTTATGCAGGGGAATTCCCCGGAGGAAGCCATTATTCTTGGATGAGTTAGCGGTAAAAGGAAACCAGGCCTCCAAAGAACACGGCGGTTGGGCCCCATCAAAGTTGACACCAGCCAGAGCAGAGAGAACAACTTAATCAGAATAGAGCTGGAAGGGACTTTGGAGGTCTTCTAGTCCAACCCTCTGCTCAACCAGTGAAGTGAAGAGAAGGAGCAGGGGAGACAGGATAGCAGTCTTCCAATATTTGAGGGAGGGGCTGCCCCAGGGTTGTGGTTAGCCGGCAGCAGGTGCAGATGACTGAGGAGAGCGAGGACTCAGATGAGAGGCCAGGACCATTAGGGAGTGGAATGCTGCCTTCAGAGATTGTGGGGGCTGGCAGCAATGAGGAGGAGGTTCCCGAGGAGCCTGTGCCAAGCGTGCGCAGGGCTGCTCGCAAGAAAGAGCAACTGCAGGAGCACAGGCGACTCGGGAGTAAGGCTGCAAGGTAATGGCCCCTCCTTCAACAAGATAAAAGGCAGCTGTGCAGCAAATGTTCTTTGCAGGAAGCAAAGATGTTTTGAAACTCAGCCTTGTGGACATTAGAGTTGATATTTGAAGACTCTTGTGTTGTGAAATATTTCTTATCTGTTGTTGTTTTTTGGCAGCCTTGCAAAAACTTGACAAGGCTCTTTCTTGTTGCAGCTAATTAGTTGGAAGCAGCCTTTTTTAATCTGTGAAGAAACAGGATTCATAGATGAAACATTAAAAGGTTGTGCTGCTGCCTTTGTCTTGTGTTTTCGCTCTTGGAACCAGGTTTGGGTCAGAACACCCAGAGAGGACGACAGGGCCAAGCTATTCTCCAAGGCACCTGAAGGCCAGACAAGGAATAATGGATGGAAACTGAACAAGGAGAGATTCAACCTGGAAATAAGGAGAAACTTTCCGACAGTGAGAACAATCAACCGATGGAACAGAAGTTGCCTTCAGAAGTTGTGGGAGCTTCATCACTGGAGGCTTTCAAGAAGAGATTGGACTGCCATTTGTCAGAAATGGGGTAGGGTCTCCTGCTTGGGCGGGGGTTTGGACTAGATGACCTACAAGGTCCTGGTTCTGCAACCCAACAGGACAGACACAGACTTCAGAGGGTAATTAGGACTGCAGAAAAAACAATGGCTACCAACCTGCCTTCCATGGAGGACCTGTATATACTGCATGAGTCCAAAAGAGGACTGTGAAAATATCTACAGACCCCTCACATCCCGGACATAAACTGTTTCAACTCCCACCCTCAAAACGACGCTATAGAGCACTGCACACCAGAACAGCTAGACACAAGGGGAGTTTTTTCCCAAACGCCATCACTCTGCTAAACAAATAATTCCCTCCACACTGTCCAACTATTTACAAAGTCTGCACTACTATTACTATGAATCTTCTCCTCACTCCTTATCATCCATCCCCTCCCACTTGTGACTGTATGACTGTGACGTTGTCGCTTGTATCCTCACAATTTATATGGACTGTTTCCTAGTATGATTTGATTGCTTATTGTACCCTCTGACTATCATTAAGTGTTGTACCTGATGATTCTGGACTCTTTAATGAATGTATCTTTTCTTTCATGTCCACTGAGAGCATTTGCACCAAAGACAAATTCCTTGTGTGTCCAATCACACCTGGCCAATAAAAGAATTCTATTCTATTCTATTCCTAATTCTTGATTCTATTCTAATTCTAATTCTAATTCTAATTCTAATTCTAATTCTATTCATCCATCCATCTATCCATACAACACCAACTCTTAAACTGACAATACTTAAAAAAAAACACTGGGAAATGGGAGGCGTATTTCAGCCTTCTAAGATATATTGCCTGTGTTTTTAGTACACCCGGAAGACAGGAAGTTTACCCTCAGGTTGTTACAGCTTGTGACTGCTCAGGTGAACTTGACACATTCCGAGTTTCGTAAATTTGTGGGAAACAACGCCTGCCTTAAAAGGTGCAATTCTCCTTTGCGTGCCTCGAGGGATTAATTTTATTGCCATCTCTCCAGAACAGTGTTTCGCAACTTTGGCTGGTTTGAGATGGGAGGACTTCAAATCCAAGAATTCCCAAGCCGGCATATCTGTTTTTTCCCTCCAGTGGTGTAAACAAGGATGAAAACCAGTTGATCTGTGTGCTACTTTAAAAGCAAAATAGAACATAGAACATAAAAGAATAGGGTTGGAAGGGACCTTGGAGGTCTTCTAGTCCAGCCCCCTGCCCTTGGCAGATCCTATGCAATTCCGGATCCACCGCATGTGTGCATCCATTCCCCACTATCACAAATTTCCTGTTATCCCTCCGATCTGTTCCGTGAACGGCCCCTGGTCATAAAGAAGTTCTGACCGCTTTTATTTCCTGGTTTTCCTTCCTCGCTGACCTCACCATTTACGATTTCCACTCACTCCAGGACGGGTGTGTAAATACAACCGCAACGCGCCTCTAAACGCACCAAGAGCCAAAGAGAGATGGACAGGAGCCCCTGAAAAGAAGCTGGATGCCAAAGGAGTGCAAAGCTTTTAGGGGCTAGATGATAGATGATGATAGATGATAGAAGATGATACCGTAGATAGATAGGTAGGCATGTAGGTACATAGATGGAGGAGGGTGGGTGGGAAGGAGGGAGGGAGGGAGAGGTATAGGTAGGTAAAGAGATAGAGATATGATGGAGAGATAGATAATAAGAGAGAGAGAGAGCGGAGGGAGGGAGGGAGAGATGTAGGTAGGTAGAGATGATTGAGAGATGGAGAGATAATAGATAGATAGATGATAAATGATAGATAGAAGATGATAGATGATAGATAGATAGATAGATAGATAGATAGATAGATAGATAATGATAAGATAGAAGATACATAATAGATGATAGATAAAAGATAGATAGATGATAGAAGATGATACTGTAGATAGGTAGGTAGGTAGGTAGATGGAGGAGGGAGGGAAGGAGGGAGGGAGAGAGAGATGTAGGTAGGTAGAGAGATAGA